CTGAGCCAAACTTTGCAACGTAGGTTTTGAATGATGGGGTTTGGTAGGCTTAGAAAATACTTTCTAAGCACCCCCTTTTAGGCATGTGAACATTCCTAAAGGAAATCTGCTTTGAGGAAATGTGTAAGTACTTAAGTAGCCTTTGCTTACCTATTTCTGAAAATGCTAGTTACCTAGATGACTGCCTAAAATATGTTCTTTTAATTACATTGGGGAGAAATGTCAATACGTAGATCTTGAGAAAAATCCAAATAGTGTACAACCTCCCAGGATTTAATAAAATTGTAAAGGATGTTGTCTAACCATAGTGTCCCATGATGTGCTCATGAACCTTAAAGTGTTTTCGTTATTTTGGATACAGTACAGTCTTTTTTTTTTCTGTGGGAGATTTCTCATTACTTCCTGTCCCATAGCCACAACAGAAAGTGAGTGGAAATCCCTCCAAAGTGAAGACAATTCCCAGTTGTTACCAGAAATAGGGCTCCTATTTGTAAGATTTCCCCTCTATTCCTGTTCAAAATTTGAGATTTTCCTTTACTTTCACTTTTGGTGAGAACACTAAAAAGGACAATTAAAAAATAAAACCTTTATATGCAACATAAAGGTTTAACGTTTTTCATATTAATATCATTCAGATATTTGCACAGCAGCTTAATATGGGGGGGGGGGGGGGTTAGATACAGAACTTTTTGTAGCAAACCCTGACAGGTGTTCTAATTACTCTCTGCTCTATTCACAGTTTTAGATTCAGTTATTTTTAGTCAAATAAGTTTCTTTTAATGCAATATCAAACTTTCAGTGCATTTTGAAACCTGCGGCCCGTGGGTCATATGCAAGACAGCTATGAATGCAGCCCAGCACAAAACCTTAGATTTACTTAAAAATGTTCTTTTTCTTTTTTTAAAAAAATGGGTTTACACTCAGCAAACACAAACAAAAATTTGACAGTGTCTCTTTACTACATGTTTATAAGTTTTATCTTTCCAAAGAAAATTCTCCCACTCGTCACAATCACACCTTGTTCATGTCATCAATTTTTGGTCGCACCCTTATTTGTGAGCAACTATTTTCAAGGACGAGGGGCAAAATTTTAACCAAAATATCTGATGATTACCTTGATAATTCATTGAGAATTGCTACTATATTTATCGAACCAGATATTAGTGTGTCAGTTTATCAAAAACAGTGTCAAATATTGCGCTACTTTTATACTGCCCTCTTTATCTTTTACAATTAAAACTACTACAAAAAATGAAGTTTTATTACTCAGATAGGCACTTTATATCAGTGATTGTTGCCCAACTTTTTCTGCTCTTCAGCTATCCTTATTAGTGTATTTTATGTGTGGTCCAAGACGATTCCTCCTCTTCCAATATGGCCCAGGAAGGTCAAAATTTGGACACCCCCCCTTAAAATAACACCATCTCCAAGGTGATCACTAGGAGTTTGAGGTGGTGATAAAATAACACATACAGAGAATGATTTGTGAGAAATAGGGTTTTTTAACATTTATCTGTTATATAGCGCAAACAATAAAAATGTACAGGCGATCAAATACCACCGAAAGAACGCTTTATTTATTAGAAAAAAAAGGACGTAAATTTCATTTTGGTTCAGCGTTGCATGACCGCACAATTGTCAGTTAAAGTAACGCAGTGCCATATTGCAAAAAATGGCCTGGTCAGGAAGAGGGGTAAATTCTCTGGAGGGCAATAGAGATTATCTTGGTGAAATGTATGTTTATGAATTGAACATTTTAGGAGAAGATTTTCATAATATAAATAAAATATGTAATGGTGATGTTCTCCATCATAGCGAATCAAGCCTTTGGCCCATTATATATTTCAGGCAACACTGCTTTAGCATATAGAAGACTCTGCTATCTCCTTCACAATATAAATCTCTAAATACTGTACTTAGACAAACAATCTAATTTTACAAGGAAATAAAGCTTTATCATGTTCTGCACTGTGTTTTTGCACTTAGAAAATGTGTACAAAATATGTAATGCCTCTGTAACCAATAAAGGACACCAGAATGCACTTATATCAGGCCTGCACGGGGGCAAAAAAATAGGCCTGGGCATTTTGGACTGAGCAACCCCAAGCCCGAGGACCCTTTCCTCGGAGCCCGGTGGTAGAGCGCCAGGGCCCAGTCACAACAGCGAAACAAAGAAAGAAGAGAGAATGAAAGAAACAGAGAGAGAGAAGGAAAGGCAAGAAGGAGGGAAGGAGGGAAACAAGGATGGAAGGAAGGAGGGAAAGAAGGAAGTAGGGAAACAAGGATGGAATGAAGGAGGGAAAGAAGGAAGGAGAGAAAAAAGGAAGGAGGGAAAGAAGGAAGGAGGGAAAGATAAAAGGAGGGAGAGAAGGAGGGAGAGAAGGAGGGAAAGAAAGAGGGAAATATGGAAGGAGGGAAAGAAGGAAGGAAGGAGGGAGGGAAAAAATGAAGGAGGGAAATAAGGAAGGAGGGTAAGAAGGAAGAAGGGAAGAAACAGGGAAATAAGGAAGGAGGGAAAGAAAGAAAAAGGGAAGGAGTTAAAGAGGGAAGGAGGGAAAGAAAGAAGGAGGGGGAATGAAGGAAGGATGTAAAGAAGGAAGGAGGGTAAGAAGGAAGAAGGAAGGAGGGAAAGAAGGTAGTAGGCAAAGAAGGGAGGAGGGAAAGAAAGAGGGAAATAAGGAAGGAGGGAAAGAAGGAAAGAGAGAAGGATTTAAAGACGGAAGGAGGGAAAGAAAGAAGGAGGGAAAGAAAGAAGGAGGGAAAGAAAGAAGGAGGGAAAGAAAAAAGGAGGGAAAGAAGGAAGGAGGGAAAAAAAGAAGGAGGGAAAGAAGGAAGGAGGGAAAGAAGGAAGGAAGAGAAGAAAGAAGAAGGGAAAGAAGGAAGGAGTGAAGAAGGAAGGAGGGAAAGAATGAAGGAGGGAGAAAGGAAGGATGGAAAGAAGGAAGGATGGAGAGAAGGAAGGAGGGAAAGAAGGAAGGAGGGAAAAAGGAAGGAGGGAAAGAAGGAAGGAGGGAAAGAAGGAAGAAGGGAAAGAAGAAAGAAGGGAAAGAAGGAAGAAGGGAAGGAAGAAAGAAGGGAAAGAAAGGGAAATAAGGAAAAAGAGTGAAAGAAGAAGGGGGGAGAGAAGACACAAGGCTGGTGGGGAGTGTGGCAGGGCATACACAGGAGGAGAAGGTGGGAAGAGGAGGGGCAGCTTTCTCTCTCCTCTCCCGTCTGTGGTGGTGGGGGGGGAACTGTCAGCACTGGGGACAGTCTATCCTGACAGATCCCCCACAGCAGCTGCAGACAGGGGTAAACCCGGCGGCAGAGCTTCAGGAAATTGGGGGGGGGGGGGTCACGGGGGAACATACAGGAGCCCACAGCATGCAGGAGATGGATGGGAGAGGCAGCCGGCCGGCATATAGAGGAACCGAGAAATGTACAGTCTGGTTTCTATATGTGCCACCCAGCAACTCCTCCTATTCAGGGAGCCCCGGCCCACCGGGCAAATGCCTGGTGTTCCCTATGGCCAGTCCGGGCCTGACATATAATGAATTATTGTTATATAGGTTCTTATGTAAACCCAGTGATTGGATTTATATATGCTTTAAAGTGTATACTGTATGAAACCAAACATTTTACATATGCTTTAAACTGTTACTAACACCATGACTTTTCATTCACTATATCTGGTCTTAGTAAATATAAACTACTAAATACCTTTTCTGCTCAGCAGTTTATAACAGTCATGTGACTTCTGTCAGTGTCCACCCAAGCACTGGTTTATCTTATAGGAGGAGTTTTCATTCTCCTCTGACTGTCCTATGAAGCTGCATGACCCGTGACCCTCTGTCTGGACAGTGCTGATTGGCCATGTGCCAATTACATGCACCCTCCTGCAAAAAAAAGGAAAACAATTCTCTAGCAGTACACACCAACCAGAGAATTTTTACACAATGTGAAGGATTAACCCCTTAGGTTCCACAGTGAGTATAACAAGCATGCTTTACTGCATATACAGACTGATTTTACTGTTGTGGGTTTAGTAACACTTTAAAGTGTATGTGTAGCCATTTTTTTAGACATAGTAGGTAGGGGTTAAAACCTTTTCAATTTATTTTTTGCTGTCTGGGTCCCATTGCAGACTTCTTTGCACTTCCTATCATGAAGACACAGCAAGCAATGAACAATAATCTCAAAGAAATTAAGGGAATTATCAGGAATTCACAGCAGAGATGATCAGATCTGTATGGCTACACAAGAAAACCGAGATCAGACTATATATATATATATACTCATAAAGTATATAATAGTGAAGCAAAAGACATCCACACACCAGCAAAAATAAAAATACAAGTGAACTACAACCAGATAACCAAAATAAGTAACAGGAAGCCCAGTAACTAACTATAGACAATATTTACAATATATACATGATGAGGAGCACAGGTCACGGAATTCCGGAGATGCAAGAAAGGGGGGAACCAGTAGCAGGATCAGGAGCAAGGGGAGCAGATGTAAGGCAACAGGGTGCAGGATGCAGATCAAGAGCAAAAGGTAGCATCATCTGACTTAGCACAGTAGACAAAACACACAAAGTGTAATAGTGGAAGAGAGACTTAAGTACCTTCCCAGCAGCAACCATCAGGTGGAGACTGATTACTAGGACCTGCTGGCTGCTGGGAGACACCTGCTGGTGGACACTGGAACTACAACTTTCCACTCTGGGAAGCACAGTGCCACCAGCAGGTGAACTAGGTCCTTATAGGAATCCCCCTATTAGGCCGTTGTCACCATAAGTTGCCGCCATTGGAAGATTTACTCTAACCAGGAAAAACCGAATGGTGAAACTACAAAGACAGTAATAAAAACTTATTAGAGGTTCTAATCCTTCCCCTCTTTATCCAAAACTGAAAAAAAGTTTTGGTTTAACACACACTTCCATGTAACTAATTGCATTTTTTTAAAGCCTCTAAAAATATCAACCTTCTAGTAAAGTGTTTACATTTGCAGACTAAATGATGGAACCCTGGAATAAAAGTAGTGTGTCTGAGTTTATTCTTGTTGGGTTTCCAACTCTGTACACCTATAGTCCATACCTTTTTGTATGTCTTCTTCTCATTTACCTTCTTACTATTGCTGGAAACGTGACTATTTTCTCCATTGTACAGCTGGACTCACAGCTCCATAGTCCAATGTACTTTTTCATTAGCGTGCTGTCTTTCCTGGAGATTTGGTACACTGCAGTTACCATTCCAAAGATGTTGATCAATCTTCTTGTGCCAAGAAAAAGCATATCTTTTGAGGGCTGCCTCTTACAGACTTACTTTTTCCATTCTCTTGGAGCCAGTGAGTGCTATCTTCTGACCACTATGGCCTATGATAGATACTTAGCTATTTGCCAACCACTGCATTATAATTCTATCATGACCTCCAAGTTGACTATAAAGTTAGTAGCCCTCTGTTTTAGTATTGGGTTTTTATGTCCAATCACTGAAGTAATCCTAATATCTAAGCTTCCTTTTTGTGGGAGCAATGAAATTCAACATATCTTCTGTGACTTTCCACCACTGCTCAACTTGGCTTGTACAGACACCTCCATCAACGTCCTGGCTGATTTTATAATTAATAGTTTTATTATCCTGGTGACATTCCTCTTCATAATGATTTCATACATTAGGATTATTTTTACGGTCTTCAAAATAAAGACATCAGCTGGACGATTGAAGGCTTTTTCTACCTGTATATCTCATCTGACCGTAGTCTTGTTATTTTTTACCTGTATTGTGTTTATGTATGTGCGGCTTACCACAAGTTACTCTTTGTACTATGACCGTGTGCTGGCAGTCATTTATTCTGTGCTAACCCCTATTCTGAACCCTATTATATACAGCCTGCGGAACAATGAGATCAGGGTGGCTTTTATACGGAAACTGTGTTCCAGAAAAGATTACGGCTCTAAATAAAGGACAGTTTGGCAGCTAATTTTAGCCACTTCTAACAAACTGGTGAACTGGTAAATTCCATTCAAAGAGCTAAACTCCCTTTTGAAATTCATGTAAGAAAACTGTGATACCCATCAAAAGATTTACAATTTTAATTTTTGATCCATTCACCTCTGCTGGACAATATAGACTGATGAATTCACTTTTCTTAAATGCACTTAAGCAATGCAACTTGGGTACTGACCTTCCCTCTGCCTGCTGATTGGTCAGTGAAAACACATTTCAGTCATGACTGTCCAAACTTCCTTCAACTTCAACTGTCTTCAAACTTCCACTGTTAGACTGACAACACTTTGTAATGAAGAGCCAGGGTTCCAGGGCTGCCTTTCCATCTCTCAGTCTAAGGAGTCTATTCGTTTTTCCACCCAAGATTTACACAATGTTTACCCAAAAGTCACACACTGAATCTTGAATGTTGGTGGTGATGTTCCCTGAATCATACTAAATGCAATATGCTTGCTTCAGAGTGCTCATAGACACATATGCCAGATATGTTGAAATATGCAGTTAAAGTGTTACTAAACCCACAACAGTAAAATCAGTCTGTATATGCAGTAACGTATGTTTGTTATACTCACCGTGGAACCTAAGGGATTAATCCTCTGCATTGTGTAAAAAAGAGGTTTGACCCTGACTTCTCTGATCCTTCCCTTCTTCCAGTGTCTCCCTTGTATCTCCTGATAAGACATATTGTGTGGCGACACTGCACATGCTCAGTTTGGTGTGTATTGCTAGAGAGGTTTTTTTTTTTTTTCTTGGGAGAGTGCATGAGATCAGCACAGGACCAATCAGCACTGTCCAGACAGAGGTCAGGGGTTTTACATCCTCCTAGAGAAAACTCCTCCTACAAGCTTTAATCAGTGCTCTGCTGCACACTGATAGAAGTTACAAGACTGCTTTAACTGCTGTTAAAAAAATTATATAGCAGTTTATATTTACTAAAGTAATTGCATTGCCATGTTCTGTGTACTGTTGGAGAACAGATAGAGTGAAGGCAGGGTCCTGGGTTTAGTAACACTTTAGGCCGGCCATAGACGATACGAATCTTGTAATTTTTTGTCAGCTGTCCACTTTTCCTTTTACCTGGGAGCTGACATTTTGTGTAAATATCTCCAGCATCCTGAGTTTTCCTGCTTTGTATTTGGTCATATTACAGAACCGATAGGGAGGAGCAAAAGGCTGGAGGGGGTAGGCCCAAGCTAGGAAACCAAAGATGCCTAATCTTTAAAAGAGTAAGTTTTGTGTCAGTGGATATTTACTGGTATTCAATACCAGTTTTATAGATTTAAAGGCCCTGTCTGCCCTGCTTGGTGGAAAGCCACGTAGCGCCTGTAAAATGTCCAAGAACTTGAAGGAGCATTTGACTTCAGGTGAACAGATCTGGTTGGCCTGGCCAAGCACCACCAAAGTTGCCCTCTAATTCATACACCTACCATCATATTTTCTCACCTCTCTTCAAAGATAATGGAGTGCTGGCACAGTATGACTTTTCACCAGCCAGTCAGGGTGGGCATATTTACTGAAGATGTACAGTAGTTACATTGTCTTGTTAAAAAAGACACAAGTCCATGGAGAAGTGTTAACTGAAACTGTGCTAAAAGTGCCCTCACACATTATTAGATATAACCATAAAATGTGCCTCTTAGAAACTGCAAGGTTTTGTTGGGGACAAGAAAAGAGTCTCATACCATAATAACTGCCATGCCACACTGAACTAGTGTGTATCTTGTATCCTTCCTATGTGAATTTTTCCACACATATGAAAATAATTGACAATAGAGCTCAAAAACAACCTAATTTAAAAAACTACATCTTTAAAAGTCTTCCTAGGTAATGTCACCTCATCGCCGCGCAACTCAAGGCTAATAGACAAGTCTTACTGCCTTCAGTGTGACAAAATAGACTGTGCACTTTGCAAGTGCAGTTGCACTCATTTTCCCCAAAGCTTAGTTAATGTGGTAAAGCTCTGCTGATTTCCATTATTCAATCATGTGCAGGAAACATGCTTTTTTTTTTTTTTTAATTAATTTTTCTTGCACCTGAATGATTATTCTTTAGAAAGTGAAACTTTATCACATTTACGTTTACTAAGGAAAAGTGTACAGCCTGTATGCCTTGAGTAAATCCACCCCGATGACTGCAAATACACATGCCTCTGTACGAGTTCCTAAACAGTTTTGATCCTAAAAGGTTTTGCCAAATTCATTCCTTTGATATTTTTCTGCAGCTTCAGCTACCAAATGTTTAATATTTACATGTTACCATGTGTAAAAGGTTTTGGCTATATGTGGATGAATATAAAGGCAGTATAAAATCTACAGTCATTTTTGTATGACATATGCTTTTCTAATTTTTTAAAATATATGTTCTTATTTCCAAAATAAGAGTAAATACGTGTACTTGTAAGGTGTCTGTAGCAATTTCCTGACCCTGTAGAAATGGTCTGTCCTCTCTTTGACAATTTTTCCTACAATCAAGAGAAACACATTGCAAAAATACTCCACCATTGGGTGGGACTTTAATGGCATAAAAAATGTTTTACATAAAATATATTAACCATACAGTTACAGTAAACATTTCACATATACAAAAAAGGTGCAGCGCTAAAGCACAAATAAATGAACGTATATACACATGCACAAAATCATGCAAAAATGTAAAGTGATACTGTGCACTCATATGTATGCCACTATATGGTGGCTAATATAACGTGAGGAAAAAATTGCTGTGTCCACAGATAAGTCCAACGTGAAGATGTGAGCAAGATCTCAACCGATCTATAGATTTCCAAACGACACAGACTGTGCACACGGTGAAACAGTGAGGATACAGATTACGCACTCACCAGATGCTCAACCTTTATGCGCTTTTATATAATATAGAGACTTCCAATATGTCATCAGAGGTCTGGTCAGATCTGGTCAGGTCCCCTTCGTTATCCCATACTTTGCACTCAGCCTTCTCATTAGATGATGACCACTCTATGGATGTACCTGGCTCCCACAGGAGCTCAGAAAAAACAGAGGAGGCCAATAGTGCAATATGTCTTAGGATACTTTATTCCCACACACAAACAGATGCTAGTCAGGTACAATGCAAGGAATAAAATTAGAATGAAGTACTGACCCAATGTAAAGTTGCCGCAGGGACCCCTCGTGGTGCCGGCGGTATTAGCGTCAAACAGCTGCAGTCCGACCCTAGGGTCGGGCTGCAGCTGTTTGACGCTAATAAGGGTCGGGCTGCAGCTGTTTGATGCTAAAAGGGTCGGGCTGCAGCTGTTTGACGCTAATACCGCCGGCACCACGAGGGGTCCCTGTGGCAACTTTACATTGGGTCAGTACTTCATTCTAATTTTATTCCTTGCATTGTACCTGACTAGCATCTGTTTGTGTGTGGGAATAAAGTATCCTAAGACATATTGTACTATTGGCCTCCTCTGTTTTTTCTGAGCTCCTGTGGGAGCCAGGTACATCCATAGAGTGGTCATCATCTAATGAGAAGGCTGAGTGCAAAGTATGGGATAACGAAGGGGACCTGACCAGATCTGACCAGACCTCTGATGACATATTGGAAGTCTCTATATTATATAAAAGCGCATAAAGGTTGAGCATCTGGTGAGTGCGTAATCTGTATCCTCACTGTTTCACCGTGTGCACAGTCTGTGTCGTTTGGAAATCTATAGATCGGTTGAGATCTTGCTCACATCTTCACGTTGGACTTATCTGTGGACACAGCAATTTTTTCCTCACGTTATATTAGCCACCATATAGTGGCATACATATGAGTGCACAGTATCACTTTACATTTTTGCATGATTTTGTGCATGTGTATATACGTTCATTTATTTGTGCTTTAGCGCTGCACCTTTTTTGTATATTATTGTGTATTGGAAGGTTTTATATGGTGCCTTTGGTGTACAGCTGCTGCTACTTGGAAGGCGCTCACTTATTTACACGTTTTTAAAAATTTCACATAGTAGAATTAGTATTAAGTCAGAGAGGTACAATACACATATACCCATTTGTATATAGTTTTACATATGCAGAGATCATTTAAATTATCCGATATGTTTCAGGGACAAATGGCTCCTTCTTCAGGGATATCTCTCCAAGCAATACAGTATAATAAACGTAGTACCAAAGGATGAAGTGGATGTCTTTCTCATAAAAACAAACAAAAACAAGTTGCCAGCAATCCCATCACATCCCTTAGCTCATCACCAAAAATGGGAGAGGGGTGGGAATACCAAAGCCCAAGAAAACCAATCAGGCAAACACTGAGACCACCTCAGCAGGATACATTGGATTGAACTCAGAGTCCAAGTGGAACATAATGGTATCCTAAGATCACAGAGTGAACGGAGATTCTCAGCTCAGAAATGAAGATGAGAATACAGTTGTGGGTGTCCCCCTCCCAGGGGATAATGTTCTATATTATTATTATTATTGTACAGTATTTATATAGCATCAACAGTTTGCTCAGCGCTGTACATTATAAAGGGAGACAGTACACAAGACAGTACAGTAACAATACGATTGAATACACGAGGGGTTCGAGGGCCCTGCTCCTTGGAGCTTACAATCTAGGAGGGATGGGATAGTGGTACAGGAGGAAATAGCTGTGGGGGATGGAGTAGTAGGAAGAGTGGAGGAGTTCAGTAATTAGCTGAGGGCGGGGTAGGTTTCCCTGAAGAGATAGGTTTTCAGAGTGCGCCTGAAGGTGAGGAGAGTAGGTGACAGTCTGATGGATTGGGGTAGGGAGTTCCAGAGAATGGGGGAAGCCCTGGAGAAGTCCTGGAGACGGGCATGGGAGGAGGAGACCAGGGAACTAGAGAGTAGGAGGTCTTGTGAGGTCTTGTGAGGAGCAGAGAGTACGTTTTGGGTGGTATTTGGATACCAGATCGGTGATGTAGTTTGGGCAGTATTATGAACAGCTTTATAAGTCACTGTTAGCATTTTGAA